GCCCCCAACCGGCCCTCCAGTGTTTGACCCAGGCTTCCGGGGACAGTGTGGCTGTCACCCCAGCTTCCTCATCACAGCTGAGGAAAGGGCAAATAGCAATATTAAAATATTTCCTCTAATTAATTCCCTTTCAATGTGCATGAATTTCGTGCACCAGGCCACTAGTCTAAAATAACAAAATAGTTGAACAACCTTTTTTTTAAGATTTACATTTGTATAGAAACAATCTGTGAAACTCCTCACCTCAAAACTAAGGTATCTAAAAACAGGGATTCATCAGTGTCACTTTAAATAAGTGTGTGGTTAAGAGTTGCAGTTCCCATTTTCAACTGAAATGTGTCTCTCTCTGCTTCCCTAGGGTCCAAATCTTAAGGTCTTGGGAAAGTGGCCAAGGGAAAAAGGGTAGCTGCTCTCCTATCCTTCTCGTGTATGGAGGACAGTGATTAGAACAGGGTTGTCATGGAAGCCAGGGAGTAAAGAAATCAATAGCACATCTCTAGTTGCCAAGGGTCAAAGTCATAGCTCATCTTTCCACAACTCCCTATCTGTAGATGTAAAGTTCCATCATGATGGCCCAAATGCTGTCCCCTCCCCGCACGCTCCTTGCCTTCACTAATCATGTCAGTTATTATGGGTAGGCTGTGGCTACGGTCCATACGTCCTCCCTAAAGGCCGGTCATTTTGTCACATTTAGGTATCCTTTTTTGCATTATGTCACTTAGATGCTGTGTCTTGTGCCCAGTTAGGGTCTACCACCCACTAAGAAATGCCTCATCCTGCCCTCGAATCCCCAAAGTGTCTAAGAGTGAAGACCCCCTGGAGACAGTGACTTTGGTGGAGCACCTCCCAGAGATGCCTAGATCATGCCATTGATCTTAGTCCACTCGTAGATGTCCTGTTCACACACTATGTTGGAGTTGATGAGCAGGTATCTGTTGCCCACACAGAAATGCTTCTGGCAGGCAGCACATTTAAAACACTCCAGGTGATACACCTTGTCTTTCACCCGCATCGTCATCTCATAGGCACGGATCCGCTTGTCACAGGAGGCGCAGAGACCATCTTGGCCAAAAAGCCTGAGATAGTCCCTCCGGCAGAGCTTGCGGCCCAGCTTGTAGTAGAGGCGCCGCCCCACCTCGCCCAGCCGGCACCCACAGAGGTCACAGCTGAGACAGTCCTCGTGCCAGTACTGGTCGATGGCCTTCAGAAAGTAGTGGTCCCCGATGTTCTGCTGGCAGCCTCCACATGTCAGCAGGGACTGGGGGATCTGCAGCACCTCATCCACGGGCTCCTCAGATGGATCCAGGCTCTTCCTCTCGATGGCCAAGGACATTGGGGAGGGAGGTGGCGTACCAGGTGGCGGGGGCGCTCCCTTTGTGGCTCGGTGCTGGCCGGCGGCGGCGAGCTCGCCCCTCCGCACTCAAGGACAGTCACCGCCCTCCCTGCCTCTCCACCAGTTCCTTCAAGTCCAGGATGGAAAATAGCTTCTTTTCAGAACTGTTGTTCCACAGATGATGTAATTCGGTGGCTTCTCCAACCAGATCAAGGCTGTCACTCCTCTGCCTCCTCAGCTAATTGCCCTTCTTCACACCTGTTGCTAGTTCCTGGCACCTATGCCACCTCCTTTCCCTGCCTGGACACTCACAGGTCCTGGTGGACAGCAAGGCCTAGGGCTGATGGGGTATATCCTTCCCACTTCTGCTCAAGGCCAGTTTCTGTTTGTTGAGTGTGTTGCAAACCCATGGTTGGGGGAGCTGAGACCCTGTGGCCCAGTTGTCTATCTGATGGGTGGAGTCTTCACTCCTGCAGTGAGCTCTCAGACTGCATGCGCTCTGCGTGGAATCTCCAGATTTCCAGGGGAGGTCTTCTGTGCTGTGCCAGATGGCAAGGCTGGATGGCTCCAATCCTGCTCAGACCCTCCACCTCTGGCTCAGACATCACAGGCCGGCTTCTGGGGCTTCTGGGGCTTCTGGGGCAAGGCAGGCCGGCTTCTGGGGCTTCTGGGGCCCGGCTTGCCTTGCCGTCTGGGACCCGATCGGGTCCGTGCGTCAAGGCAGGCCGGCTTCTGGGGCTTCTGGATGGTGGCGCGCTGGTGGCTCATGCTGTCCCGCCCTGTCTGCAGTATGCAAATTAGCCTCCATCTTTGTTGGAAGTTAATTTGCATATTGTGCTGATTAGCCAATGGGAGGTGTAGCAAAGGTACAGTCAATTACCATGTTTGTCTATTATTAGATAGGATATACTAGAGGCTCGATGCACAAAGATTTGTGTAAGAATGGGCCTTCCTTCCCCTGGCTGACAGCACCTCCTTCACTCTGTCCAGAGCTGCCTTTTCCGCCTTCGCTCTGGTCCAGAGCCAACTTTCCACCTTCCCACACTGCCCAGAGGCCCGGAGTGCCTGCATTGTCACCATGGAGATGACACAAGCATCCCATCCGCCCCCAGCTGCTTGGAGCCTGTGCATGCAAACTAACCTGCCATCTTTGTTGGGTTAATTTGCATACTCACTCCTGATTGGCTGGTGGGTGTCATGAAGGTATGGTCAATTTGCATCTTCTTATTGTATTATTAGTGTAGATAGGTAATTTATAAGGCTCTGTCTCTGGTTAGGTTCAATAAGAAACACCAAAATTTTTCCTGAGATGTTTTATTTTATTTTATTTACTGATTGATTGACTTGAGAGAGAGAGAGTAAGAGATTTGTTGCTCCACTTATTTATTCATTCATTGTTTGATTCTTGTATGCGCTCTGACCAGGGATGGAACCTCAATCTTGGTGTATTGTAATGATACTCTAACCAACTGAGCTACCTGGCCAGAGCCCTGAGATGTTCAATGCTTCTTACATGTTTAGTAATTTCCCTTCTATTGCAAAGTAAATACAATTTTGCAGTGTTTTTTCAATCTACATAATATGTTTATAGTAGAAAATGGAATATGTTTGCTTAAATTGTAGTTGAAACAGTCTGGTCTCTTTATTCCTGATATGACTTACCTTTCTATATAATCTGATGTCTCTCTATTAGTGGATTAAAAGACAGCCCCAGACCCTGTGTCTAGCTATCTTTTTGCCAACTAAAATGAAACATGATTCTAATAGGTTTAATGCTAAATACACTTCAAAACCTTGTTCTTGGATAGGATGGTGCTATAGTAAACTCAGTTGTCAAACTCTCTCCCGATGCTCTGGACTGAGCTCCTGGCATGCCAAAGAAGTAAAAGGCAAAGTCTCCTATGGGAAGCTTCCTGTCTTTTCCTGCCTATCTCTAACCTGGGATTAGCTGCTGAATCTATTAGACACTTCAAAGTAAATAATGACAAAAAATCTATCACATGAACTGAATGAGTTTCCTAGATTTAAAAAGTAGAATCAATATACTCATTTTTATATTAATTGATAAGATAGAGGTAATTATACTTGTGAACAGTGGGAATAACTGAGAGATAGACAGGAGCAGGGTATGTGTATTGAGGTATAATTATTAAATTTTCATTTGGGACATGTATTTTCTAACTTTGGTTGCCCTTGTCCTTTCCAGTGACTGGAGTTCCTAAAGGTAACAATACGGGGAGGGGAGGGGATTTACACAGAGATAAAATGATTTATTGCAAGATGCTTGCTTTTGTTTGTTCTTTTTAAAAATTATCTTTATTGTTGAAAGTATTACAAATGTGCCCTTTGTTGTTTTTTTTGTTTGTTTTCTGTTTTTTTCTCCTCATTGATTCATTCTAGCCCACACCCACCCCTCCCAAGCCTTCACCACACTATTGTCTGTGTCGCTGGGCTTTGCATACACACATATCAATTCCCCAGTTAATCTCTCCTACCCCTTACCCCCTACACCCACCTTCCCTCTGAAGTTTGTCAGTCTGTTGCATGGTTCTACATCTCTGGGTCTGTTTTGTTCATCAGTTTATTTTGCTCATCTGCTTCAACATGAGTGAGATCAAGTGACACTTATCTCTGTAATCTGGAGAGTATTATGTAAAAATGCTCGCTTTTGAATGCTTTGCTTGAGCCAATAGTGATGAGAGCCCCCTGGGTGATCCCTGAGGCTGACTTGTGGGAATCAGGTTTCAAAGCTTCCCAGAGGACTCTGAATGGTTTGTGGCTCTAAGTGGACTCTTTAGGCTCCTGGGGGCATCAGTGACCCACGTTTGCTTCACCCTGCCCTCTCTTTAAATGGGGATTTTTGTGCCCCTATATATTAAAGCCTTGATTTTTTTAAAGTTAAAAGTTTGATATTTAACTTCTGCCCTCTCTTGAAAGCTCACTAAAAAAATGGTAAAAGTTTTTCTTTCTTTCTTTCTTTCTTTCTTTCTTTCTTTCTTTCTTTCTTTCTTTCTTCCTTCCTTCCCTTCCTTCCCTTCCTTCCTTCCTTCCTTCCTTCCTTCCTTCTTTCCTTCCTTTTGTTCTTCCTTCCTTCCTACCTTTAATATTATTTATTTTTTTATTTTTTATTTTTTTAAAATGGACTTCAGAGAAAAAAAGGGAGAGGGCGGAGAGAGCGATAGAAACACCAATGATGTGAGAGAATCATTGATCGGCTACCTCTGCACACCCTCTACTATGGATCAAGCCCACAACCCAGGCATGTGACCTGACTGCGAATCAAACTGTGACCTCCTGGTTCAAAGGTTAATGCTCAACCAGTGAGCCACACTGTCAGGGCTAAAAGTCTTGTTTAAAAGACAGACACACTGGAGAAAATTGGAAACAGAAAACAGCTCACAAAGTTGTTTAAATTGGGTAGCAAATGGCGGAAATGATGACAAAATTAGCAGATAGGAGAAAGCTTAGTCCTAAACTGGGAGTAGGAAAAGCTGATAAACAACCTCATTCACATGATAGAACCAAGATCTCAGGAATTGGTACCACCATGTTCCTTTGGACATGGGCATGTGAGAATCAAACAGGAACACTGGTAGAAAATTTGTTGAAAAAAGCAATTTGAATTCGCCAGAACAGAGAGGAGGAAATGCATGGTATGGAATGAGTAAACCACTTGTTCCCAAGTGGTTTTGGTTAGGGAAGATAAGACTTTGTGATTTATCTTCTGGCTGTAAATTGCTCAGCCATGTACCTATCTGTCTCAGTTTCCTCACTCCATTTGTCAAGGAATATTCTAGCTTTTTACTAACCAGTCTCAGAATCATGTATGGTCAAAAACAATTGCCCAGGGTCTTAAGCACAGGAGAATAAAGAAAAGTGGAAACAATGTTCACAAATGCTCACACATTTGTAGGGTGTACACCCTACTATTAAAGAGGCCAACCAGAGGCCAAAGAGCAAACCCTGGCTCTGTCCTTATGAAGAGGCCCTTCACAGGATCCTCATACATAGATGAGCGGACAGTGTCTTCTCAGGTCCTCCTTGTGTACATGGGATTAACCTCTCACCTCCTAAATACCAGCCCCAGGCCTGTGCCAATCACATTCCCTTTGAGGAGCTGCTGTGCCCTTTCCCCTGCCACACACATGTAATCTACATGGAGGATCCTCAGGTACCTGCATGGAATTCTGGGACATGAACCTTTTAAGGTCAAGTACATTTCTGTTTCCTGTCTTTCTCTAGCTCCAAGCAACAGTTGACCTCCTCTGATTTTGATACTCAACTTAAAGAAAACTAGAATCTGGATCCCAAGTCTGAAAGACAATAGAATAGACCAATTCTATACACTACTGACTCATTTATTTCCAAGTGCAATGTAAGAAGAATAAATGTGAAATTAAACTAGAAAAAAGAAAAAGCAGACTTCAGGAATTCATGCCCTTCTCCATGTAGTTAGGCATAATTTCCTCCTTTAATCTCTCTAGTCTCAAGATTTTTTCTACAAAGATAGTAAAATAGTAAGTCTCTGATTTGAGGCCCCCTCATGAAGTTGTACTTAAAATTTGGTGGTCAACATAGAGAACTATGGTTTTACCATCTCATACTATTAGATTTGGGGAAGACCTACATTCATACTCAAAGGTCTGCTTACTACTCCATAAACATTTTGCTATGCCATAGATTTTACTTTTCTGTTCTATTTGCTTCTATATCACCAGGCCTGGCTAAGGCCTAACACAGGCACATACTGAACAATCTATTCTGTTACTATTGGCACCAAATGTAGAATTCTGTTTGGATCATATTAAGTTTGACATTCAAGTAGAGCTGTTGAGTAGGCAGTTGAATATAGGAGTCTGCAGTCTTGGGGAGGGGGCGGAAGAAACCAGATAATATCTCAATTTGGTAGTCATTGACATATGTAGACATTTAAAATCATTGAACTGGATAGTATTTCCTAGGGAGTGAGTGTAGAATTATAAGGGTCAACCCTAAACTGAGAACCTAACATAGAAATGTGTCAAAGCACAGTTACACCCCAAGACTCTTGGCAGAAGTCAAGAGAGAATGGATTTACCAGGAGGACTCTTTTCCACCCAGGGTGCAATGGGTTCTCTCAAGAAAAAGCAGGCCCTGCTGGAGA